AATCTGTATGGATGACACTCCTGCTAATTTGTTCCCAGATGCTGTCTGTGTCCCTGTGTTCCTCTGTCACTTTCTTATTCATATGTGATTTCCTACCTAAACTAATCTTCAAGCCCTTCTCTGCAGTTTTCCCATTTTCTGACAGTTAGGGCCCTTTATGTACTGAAGTATTAATACCTTCTCCTGAGTTTACTTTTCAGCAGTGTTAGAGCATCCTCATTTGCAAACATCTTTTAATTTCCTGTTTGAAATGCTTGCTTTTCATATTTCAAGGTACTTAGGTTGGTTGTGGTACTAGAGTGTGTCCCAGCTTGAGGTCATGTGTGGATGGTTATCTCAGTGTGTCTCCACAGAATGGTGTGGGTTCAGATGTGCACTTTCAGAATGAATTCTGCACACGGGGCTTTCATTCATCTTCTGGAGCTCTCTGAGCGTGCAGACTGCTTAGCACTAAACTGGAAAGTTGCTTCCACAGAATCTCTAATGCTGGCTGCCTCTGGATGGGCATTCAAATCCATGGGCTCAGACTAGAGCTAGATCTTGTTCCTAAAGGCTCAACAAAACAACCCAGATACACCCCAGCTAACAACAAAAAACCCAACAAAACCCCCATACCCTACCACAGACAAAATCCCTGAAACAAAATGAAACAAGCAAACAAAACCCACAAACAAACCAACCCCCACAGCCACCCATCCAAAACAAAGCCTGCCAAAGCAGCCATGCTCCAGAAGCGTGGCTGGTGTGGGTGTCAGCGTCCCAGACATCTGTTCCTTGGGCAGCTCGGTTCCTGCTGGCCTGCACTGCCCGGGGGTGTAGACACAGTTGTCACAAACACGTTGTTTTGTAAGCTGCACACCTGTGCTGATCCTACAGAAGAAGCTTTTGGAGGGATGGAAACTCTTGGGTGACAACTGGAGGTTGGGTGGGTTTGGTGCCACCCTGTGATGCTGTGCATTGCAGTAAGCCATGCCTAGCTGAAGGACTCAAATTTGTTGCAGGTTTTTTTGTGAATTCTGTTTTGCATTCATACCTTGGAACTTTTAAAAGTATTGAATAACTGGTGATAACTACCATTTTTTGCAAAAACCCAGAAGGTATTTTCTATGGAGAAGACTGGAGAATTTTTCATGAGAGGAGCTTTCCTGAGAGCTAATGGACAAGTCTCATGACTTTGTTGCCAGAAGAAGCTTTACATGTCTCTCCTTGGCTTCAGCCAGTTTTGTCTTTCTGGTTTAGTCCCTGTCTGATCCTCTTGCCACGCTGGAATAATCTGACAGTCTTTGGTTCATTAGAACTGCTTTTGGTAGTAGGTGTAATAGCTTGTCATTGAAATGATTTTTTAATAAGTATGTAGGATGTTTCATGTTTGTAAATCTGCCACTTATTAACACTTGCACGTGTTTTCTGGTTCCATTCTCTCTCTTATTGTTCCTCAGAGGAGTTACTGTACAAATACTTGGAGAAAATCACTTTCTGTTGTATTTATATAACACTGCTAAAAGGATTTATAAATTGGAAGCCAGCACTATGCAACTCAAGTCATGTTTGACTTGAACTGTAGCAGAAAATCACTTTGAATATTTAATAGCTTTCTAGTTAAAAGTCTTCTGATTTGATTTTAAAGGTATTTGGTGTGCAACAGGGAACAAATTATAGCCTTTTACTGACAGGTAAGTGGTATTATAAAATCATAAATGTATACAGTTTGTCATTTTCAGGAGAAGGAAAAATGATTCAAATTTTCAGAGTAGTTTAGAAGTATTAATTACTGTGATTTCCTTTCAGTGTTGAATCGTATTTACTTCATCTGCTTTGAAAATTCTAGGCTAGTACTGTATTCCAGCTAATATCAATGTTTGATATGTTAGTGATTTCTTTTCATGTATAAGGTGGATTTCATAGCTTAAAAATGACAAGCCATAACAACATACAGAAAGGTACTGCCTCCCTGTAGAATCACTAAATGCAGAATAAAAAGCATGGTTTTAGTTTCCAAATATTGACAGTGAGTTCTAGGAAAGCACTGAGATGTCCTGCACAGACTGACTCACTAAAATGCTCACTATGAAGGCTTACCTGGAGCTCAGGATTTCTCTACTGTTAAAAGCACATCCTGCAGACTGCAAAGAAGTAGGAAAAGATGAGAAATTAGGGGGAAATATAATTGACAGGTTGTATATTTGAGGAAAATAAAATTGTGCTGGTGACTGATTTGAGAAAGCTTCTCTTGCTGATCACCTCCCTTGGAGATCTTGAGGCAGAAAAAGATTGGATTTTTTGGCTTACCCAAGATGTAAATCAATTTGAAGGAGCTTTTCAGACCACATTTCTGTTCTGTTACTACTGCTTACAAAATTGGTTGATGGATTAGAGGGTATTTAAGAATGTGGCAAACTGCTTTTTCTTTGAGTATTTCAAAACCAGCACCATTATGTTTTTGTGTCCCTGAGTTACAATTGCTACATAGGTAGTTTCTTGCCAATTTCAAAATTGTACATACGATTTTAGTAAATTTTTTTTTTTTGAGTACTCATAACCTTACTGTCAGGAAGGGAGATAAGAACTTCAGTGAATACAAGATGCTGTGTTCTTAGCATCTTGATATGTGATATGGGAACAGAGTACCAGATCCTAGTTTTTAATTCTCTTCTATTTCAGGGAGGTATTTTAAAGAAATTAATGAATTTTTATATGAGTTTGGTATCAGTGGGATAGCAAGAATCATGGATTCTGGAGCACAGTGTGTATAGTGGAATTATACAATGGCCTGGCTTGGAAGGGACCCTAAAGCTCATCTCATTCCATCCTCCCTGCCATGGGCAGGGACACCTTCCACTGTCCCAGACTGCTCCAAGCCCCACCCAACCTGCCCTTGGACACTTCCAGGGATGGGGCAGCCACAGCTTCTCTGGGAATCTGTGCCAGGGCCTCAGCACCCTCCCAGGAAACAATTTCTACCTAACACCTAACCTAAGCCTGCTCTTTGTCAGTTTGGGAATTTAATTTTGATGAGTATTTTCTGAACCTATGGTGTCTGTAGTTATTGGAAGGTCCAAAAGCATCCTAAAAATTAAAAAACGGCTTATTATGTTTGAATATGCAGTGGTTCAGCATTTTGATGTGTAAAATAGAAGTTCAGAATGCCCTTTATTGTATCTAGTAATAACCTGAGTAACAAACTGTGTTCACTTCTATCATATTTTGAGGTATAGCAAGGGATTATTTCTGTGTTTCAAGAGCAGCAATGCTGTGATTTTTCTTCTCTGCCGAGACAATAAAATAAGATGTTAACTGGGCAGGCAGCAGTGCAACGTTTCACTGAGCATGGTCTGCAGAACTGCTGGAGCTGGAATGAGAGTTTTGCAGTCTGCATCGCTTGGCATCAGTTACTCCTCTGTGAATTGGCACTTCTCGTGCAGCATCTCTGCTGCTTCTCCATAGTCCCACTGATCCTTCAGAGATTTTCAGAAGTTTACAGAATATATCTGCAAAAGATATAGCTTATGTTGAGTACTAAACCTTAAAGGGGATAAATTATCAGCTACAAAACAGAAGATTTTTAATTTTGCTATAATTTTATATTTCAAGTGGCTTATTTCTTTTCTGGCTACTTGGTAGATAAAAAAAATATACACTTGTTTGCACTTCTGTTAAAAATATTGCTTTTACTTTTAATGATGTTTATAAATTTGATTTTCATTACATTTTTCTGACTTTACTACTGACTTCTGACAATTTTCTGACTTCACTTCTCTGGCCCTTTCTTTTTCATATCCCATTTCCCCAGTGCCTGCCTGCTGCAGAGCTCCCTGTTTAGCAGTTATCTGCTTTTACTCTTTGTGTGTGTGAATTTAAAATCAAACAAAAAACTACCAAAACAAAATCAAACCCCACTGAGAATTGACAATACTCTCTACCTCCTGTCTTGATAATCCACTTGATGCTGATACTGATTTCCATGTCTCAAGATGGAAAGTAGGATAGGAAGTCTAGAGGGAAGAGACAGGACAGTTTTTGTCTTTTTTCTTCTTTTTATCAACAGCAGTAACAATTTTGCTGCCCCTCTTGCAGTTTTTTTGTGCTCTAACACAACTGATCTACAAAATGATCAATAACATTTCCTGGAAATGTTCCTTGTGAAGCTGTACTGGAATTCTGGAACAAGTTGGATTTGAGGTCTTTCTGTAAAATAAAGACTTAAAAAATGAAGGATGCTTCTCTGTGTCTCTCACTTGTTGGGGATAAAGAAGGCCTGTGTCCTTCAAAGCAGTTATCAGCAGTGTAAAACAATTACATCAGCAATGAAAACAATTAGAACATAAGTGAGGGTCCCTCTATTACCACCAAAATTCTGTGGCACTTTCCTTAGGGGGGATATCAGGAGAGAGATTAAGAACCTTCTGAGGTAACTACAACATGGACAAAGTATGGATCTCTATAAGTGTCTCTCCTGAAATTACTTTGAAAAAGTACAGTAGAGCTTGTTTATTGCAAGCAGAATCTGACATGCTGTATAAGACGCTCTAAGTTCATTACATTTTGCAGCATTACAGTGAATTAGCAAAGAGCTGTCTTAATTTGCAGAGTGTTTGAAGCATAGAAAGGTGAGATGACCTATTGAATGACAAAGATTTGTGCATTCCAGAATCAAGAAACCTACTCTGCAAAAAGACCCAAGCTTTCCAGCTTTTTCCTTTGTATTTTCTTTCTGAGTCTGTTAACTTTTTTTTTTTTTTTCTTCTTCATGTCATTAGACTTTCCTTAGGTGTTGTCTTTAGCCATTGAGTGTCTGACAGTTTGTAACCCTGTGGAAAAAAAAGAAGCACACGGTACTGGTCTAAAGCAAGGCTGAATGCTGTGTGGTGTTACAAAGGATCTGTAATGTCTGGGAACAGTTCTACAACGAGTAGGAAGGAAATTCTGAAGAAAGTGGGATGAGAAGACACAGATGAAAGTTCCTTTATAGATGAAAGTTCCTTTACATGCTGAAACACAAAAATGACTGAGAATATGATGATTTTCTCCTATCCCAGAGAACAAAATCATTGTCATTTTAAGAGAGTAATTGAAGTTTTTTGCAAGAGTTATTTGTCGAGAGCATTGTTAAAATGAAAAAGATTCTCAATCCACATTAATACTCATGGAATGCTGAATATTATTGTCTTTTGTTTTTAACAGCCCTCATCATTCTTTCCTATTCAGATTCTTTCTTCCTCTTCCTTTAAGGAGTATTTAGTGAAGCAGAAGCTGTGATTAATTGATGATGTCCATGCCACCTTCAAGATCAAAATGACTTTCTGTTATAATTCCCAGTGTCTGTGTGTCCCAGGACTCTTCTCCTGATCCCTTTGACTCTAGAATGAACAAAAGTGTGTTTTGTTTGGTCTTTGATTTTCTGATCTCATTTTCTGGGCTAATCTTGTGTGCAGTCCTGCAGCTGAGAAATGCTGGTGTTGCTTAGGATGAGGCTCTGAATCCATGCAGGGGCTCTCCAGCTCTGACTTGGCTCCTCAGCTGGGACTCAAGGCACTGCAGTTTGGGTTGCTGTGGACTGTGCTGGCTCCTTTAAAGTGATTTTGCACTGAGACATCTAAAATTTCCTGATGTTCCAGGGGCACTTTGCTGGGGTTTTTCAGCAAGACTGACATATGCCAGGTTTAGGTGCTCTGGTGCAATTCAGTCTTCTTTTTTTTTTTTCTCTTTATTTGCTCCTGCAGAATGAGTCACTTGATATTCAGGACTGTCTTATACTTAGGCCAATTAAGCACTTGTTAGTTTGCAAAATGCACTTAACAAAAACTAAATACAAATGCCAAATTATGCATGTGCACCCGTGGACTGTTTGAGGCTCATTTATTGGAGTTTTCTGTCGACAAATTTTGATTATGGAGCTGGATGAGGTTTTTTTAAGAACTGATTTACCGATTCTTTTACACTTGCTATGTTTCATTCCTGCACCAAGGTATTTTCCCTAGGATTCTATACAGTGTGCTATATAAATAAAGGTGAGTTCTAAAGGGGAAATATTGCAGAGGAATACACTGGACAAGTTACTCATTATTAAGGATGATGTTGACAAATGCTGTTTGGTAGGATCTCTGCTCTCCTTTCTGTTGATTAGATCTGCATTTTTGTTTTTGATTGGAAAGAATGTAGCAGTAGTTATATACAGCTTGGCATAAAGTCAGCAAAAGTTTTGGATAAGATTAAGAACTTAATTTTACTGACCTGAACTCAGGAGTTCTCTCATTTCTACATTTTTCTAATTTTAGATTTGGTCATAACTTTTTCTTTTGGTGTAAATTTTTTTTCCTGGAAGTATTAGTTAAGTTCCTTGATTTGGTGTTTAATTTTATTATGAAAAGAATATTGGTGTTGTGAATGAGTTTACTTTCACAGTGAGAACACTGTTCTCACCTGTGTTCCCTAGAGAAAAAGACTTGTGAAAGATGCATTTGGTTGAGATTACTGAGTTACCCTAAAATCAGTCAAATAAAAGATTGCTTTTTCCTTTGTTAAAGTTTACATTACAGAAGTGAAAGCTTTTTTTTTTTTTTTTAGTATTATGATTAGATATTTCATATCTTCTTTAAACTGCTTGATCCAACAATCAGGTGAGGAGGAGGGGAGAGAGAAGACAGGGTGTGCTGGCTGCACAGACTTCATTTCTGGTGCCTGTGTGGTGTGAATGATGTGGCTGCATCTCTGTGGTGTCTCCCCTGTAGCCATCCAGTCACCTGGGCTGTGTGACACGGTGCACACTGTCACCTCAGCTGTGTGACATGGTGCACACTGTCACCTGTGTGACACGGTGCACACTGTCACCTGAGCTGTGTGACACGGTGCACACTATCACCTGTGTGACACGGTGCACACTGTCACCTGAGCTGTGTGGCACAGTGCACACTGTCACCTGAGCTGTGTGACACGGTGCACACTATCACCTGTGTGACACGGTGCACACTGTCACCTGAGCTGTGTGGCACGGTGCACACTGTCACCTGAGCTGTGTGACACGGTGCACACTGTCACCTGTGTGACACGGTGCACACTGTCACCTGAGCTGTGTGACACGGTGCACACTGTCACCTGTGTGGCACAGTGCACACTGTCACCTGAGCTGTGTGAATTGTCACCTCAGCTCTGCACATAGCCTTGCACATGCAGGTCCATCAGTGTGAGACTCACCTGCTGCTGGGCTCTGTGTGAGCAGACCAGGTGAATTCTGGATTCCTGATCTAGCTGGTACGTGTGAGCTACCTCAGGTAGCTGAGGCTGATTTGATCTGGGATCTCTTAGATATCTGTATATGGAAAAGCTGTAGAAGCTGTAGGAAAACTGAATCCCATTTAGCAAGCTTTGAATCTTTTAAGTGACTTTTTGTCTAATGAAAATCAGTAGTATTCTAGATACTTTCTAACATCTGTGTTTCCCAAGTTGATGAATGAAATATGAATAGCAGACTATTTGCATAATGTAGTTTCTATTAATGTGACTCTCACATTTTTCAGTGCCTTTTTTTTTTTTTTTGTGCGTAGAGCTATTCTTTTTCTATCTATAGTGTTTTATCTTCCCTTGTCTGTTCTGTCAGCTTCCTTGATATTTGCATTGTTTTTTTTTAATTAAAAATAAAAAAAATGCACAACAACAAACAAAGGAAACACAACAAACGAAGAAACCGACCCCCTCTTCCAAACCTCTGAACATTGCTGTTCTGCTGATTTTGAAGTGGATTGCCACAGTTCTCTGGTGTTTAGGATGATGTGTTTACTGTAGTGCAAGATAGGGTATAATTACTAGTGCAGATTGTCCTGTTGAGAATATTTTCCGGTAAGTCACCAGCATCAGCTACACCCCCTAACCAGAGACTCCTTGACACACAACACAGGTCGTCATGTTCCTACAAATCAATAGCAATAACTTGAGAGAGTCTTCCTTGACAGCTCTGCAGTACTGAGGCTGATTTTCTTCACATCAGCTGCCAGCTCAGTGTTTGAGGTGAACTCAATTTGAATTTCTCCTATCCATTAATCAGCAAGCTTCAGTGTGGTCCTTGGCCTGTTCCATATTGCTAGAAAGCCAAGTTTCTTTGTTAAGTGCTTTTGAGACTTGTGTCAAAACAAACATTGTTGTCATTGTTTTCCTGCAAATTTCTTCATGTGTACAAAAAGAAAGCTGCTGGCCAGAGCAGAAGAGGTCCATCTCTCTCTGCATTCTTCAGTTTAAAAATAAAACTTTTGCCTCTTATATGTTAGTTCTGAAACTTTAATGTGGAAAGATAGTGGGAAGATGGCTCTAAAAGCAGATATTGTGTGCAAAGTCACTATCCCATTCTGTTACATGCCTAAGTTCAGTAAAGTCAAGCAAGTTTTTTGAAAAGACAAGTGGCACCTCATGTTCTGGATTACCACTGTCTTGGGTTTTGAGAGCTAATTTTCAAAATTATTTAACTAAGATGGAATCTAAATGCCAAAGTTACCAAGTTAAAACTTTTTAGGCTGTGTTAGCGTGCATAAAATGTAATAGCTCTAAATCATTTGGAAGTAAGTATTAGTGTCTCTGTCTTGTTTTTAGTTTATCCTGTCTTAATGAATAAAGTATCTCCAGCTGAAGTAGGGATGTAGCTGCTTTTATGAAAGTCAGTATGTTAGGCTTTTGTTGAGTCTGTGGTCAGCCAGGCTGCAGTAACACAAACATTGAGAGTGTGGGAATCTTACTGGGATGGTAATTTCAAAGCTTCTTTGTGAGCTTTTTGCAGGCAATCAGAGACAAGTAGAACAAACCAAAGAGGCCCTGTCTTTGAAATATAATTGAGTTTGATGTACTGCTTACTCAGTTTTCTTTGCCTTTGACTGTGTGGAATTTTTTTAAATGAAGACATCTGACTGTGCCATGAAGTGGGAAAATGGTCATATTTGAGCTTGGTCATTTAATATTAGATAAAGTTATAGTGATTTCTTAGGAGGCATTTAAGAAGGTGTTTTAAATAGAGTAAAACACTGCTCAGTCTAATGCCTGTATGTGAATGGCTGTACCATATGAAATTAACATTTAATAAATTTCTGGACATGGTGGTGGATCAGCCTCTAAAGGTCAGGCATAATGCTGGTTAATCTGTAATCCTTGTTTAACAAGCATGCTTCACATGGCAGTGGGAACCACTTTTTCTGGATCTTTACTTCCTCCACAGATGACAATACAAATGGATCTTGTACAATGCAGGTTTTATTTGATGCAGTAAGGAACCAATTTCTGCTGGTCTGAGTTCTTCTGATGATGAATGAGTCTGCAAAACCCCAGGAACAAATTTTTAGAGTAAAGTGTTTCATTCTAGCAGTAATGTAAAAATGCAAAATTACTCTCTTAAGACTATAAGATGTTTTTCCTCTTAATCTTGACACAAAGTTGCCACTATATTTACCAGAAGTCCTGACCTTAGAGTCAGGTGGAATAAGCCTTTAGACTCCTTGAGCTTAATTTTTCGGTGGGAAAAGGGTTTCTGTAGAGTGAGAGTGGTTTGTGGTTCAATGGCCATTAAATAATCCTAGAAAGCAGACCACCAGGATCTGGCAGATGGGTCTGGTGTGAGATGAGGTCTCTCATGAAGATTGGTGTTTTATTCTCATTTTATTTCCAAATCAAAATGGAAGACGTTTCAATTTGATGATCCAGCTTGGTTTTGTAACCAGTATTATACAGGATGCTTTTCTGTCTGTAGTGTTTCAGAATTCATGTATTTTGACCATATTTATTATAAATTACACTTGCTGTGCAAATGAATTTAGTGTTATATGTCAGTAATCTCTTTGAATCTCTTATGAAGAGAAAATAGGCATCATTTTAGTTGCTCTGTAATGGTTATAGGATTCCCTTTTTTGCATTCTCCTTGCATTTAAAATAGCTCTGTGCTTTGATTTTGGAACTGAGGTTATGCTTTTATTCATTCAACATTTGGACTATTATTGCCCAAATAATCAATTATATTAAAATTCCTGGAAGAGCAAGTTATGTGCTCCCCAAACCTATTGCCTGCTGACAAGTTAAGAAGCCCCTACAGTAGAATTAGATTTACAGGGATTTTGATACTTTTACTTCTTGCCTAGTGTTTGCCTTGAATTTTGGGGGCATGTCATGTGTCAGATTTCACTAGAAGACAGCTATGCTTTTGCCAAGTAGTTCTTCAGTCTTAAGCTGTAAGTCCATGTCACTGTGCTGCCCAACAGCTTGGTGTGAGAAAAGCCCCTGCCTGTTCCCTAGATTAGTCCAATATGTGCCTTCTCTTCTGTAAAGCTTGATGGCTTTCATTGCTCCTGGCATTGAAAACTCATTTTTTTGTGGATGCATTGTAGAACTTCATGATTGGTTTGTGGTGCTGGAGTGACACACTCTTTTCTACTTGCCCAAGTCTTTTGTCTTTCTTTCCAATCAAGGGCTGTCAAAGACAGGTACCTTACAACTTGTATGCAGCATGTCTAAAAATAATGTATTTTAAGTCTTTAATAGTGACTAATGAGATTATTATAATTAAGAATAGAGGCAATGCTTTAAATTAGTCTAAATACATTGCAATCTTTGTTCAGTCTATTTTGACTCTGTATCAGCATGATTACATTTTTTCCTTTTGCTGCTGACAGGCTTTAGGTGGCTGGAGTTCAGGCCTGTGAGCATCCTGGGCAGGGACAAGGCAGAAAGGTGCTACAGAGGCTCCAGGCTGCTGATGGCACCTGGTTTTCTATTCTGTGCCACTGAGGCTGGAGGGGACCAGGTGCAGATGTTTTCCCTGATCTTGTCTCAGTAGAAAACTGGTTCAGATAGATCTGGTATTGGGAGATAGGTATTGAGAAGGGACCATGAGGATCATCAAGTCCAACTCCTGGCCTTGTGCAGGACGCTGCTAAGATTACACCATGTGCCTGAGAGCATTGTCCAAATGCTTCTGGAACTCTGTCAGGCTGGTGCTGTGACCACTGCCCTGGGGAACCTGTTCCAGTGCCCAGCCACCCTCTGGGGGAAAAACTTTCCTAATCTCTAACCTAAACCTCCCCTGACTCAGCCTCATGCTGCTTCCTCAAGCCCTGTCTGCGGCGAAGAGATCAGTGCCTGCCTCTCCTCTCCTCTCCTGAGGATGTTGTAGACTGCAATGAAGTCTCTCCTTGGTCTCTTTTTCTCCCAGCCCAACAGACCAAGTGATTTCAGCCACTCCTGCTGTGGCTTCCTCTCCAGACCCTTCACCATCTTTGTTGCCCGCTTGTGGACACTCTCTAACAGCCTAATGTATTTTTATATTGTGGTGCCCAGAAGTGCCCCCAGCGCTGGAGGTGAGGCTGCCAGCCCAGAGCAGAGCAGGACAGTCCCCTCCCTTGCCTGGCTGGCCATGCTGTGCCCGATGCCCCCCAGGACACGCCTGGCCCTTGTGGCTGCCAGGGCACTGCTGAATGATGTTAGCTTGCCATGAAATTCATCTCCAGAACCCCTGGTTTGTTGGCATGTTTGAAAGGCATCTGTCCATCCTTAATTAAACCTATGTTTATCCAAATTCATTTGTCCTTTCCCTCTGCAGTCCTGTTTTGGATGTGGTGACCAGTCTGCAGTGGTTACAGCTGCCTGGGAAGGGTTGTCTCAGGAAAGGTGGTGAAAGCAGTAGCGTAGGTGGCTTTCACCAAGAGCCTGGTGACAGAAGTCAGTAGGCTGAGGACAGAGTTTGTCTGATCTGACCTTTTTCTCTCTCATTGCTGCCTGTGCATCTTTAACCTTTTCCTTTATCTGATAGCGTGGCCTGGAGGCAAAGCACTGATCATGCTCATTAGAGTATGAGGTCTGCTGCTTTTTGATTATCTCTCTGCATGTGCCCTGTGGCACTGCAGTTGGAAATACAGCTCCAAAAGATCTATGGAACTGGAGGAGTGGACCTTACCCTGTACTAGAGATCTGCAGAAGTATTGCATTTTTTGTGCATTTGGAAGCCCTTCTGAGTCTGAGGCAAAGAAAATGCTCTTGTTATTGATACTTGGATCGCTTTATAATACACCTCAGCTTTCATCCCCTGAGAAATTGTGTCAGTAATTGAAAGAGCCATTGTCTCATTTCAGTTATCTAAACAATCTCAGTCTTCATTCTTATAATTATCGGAAGAGCCCAGCAGCAAAAATCCTATTAGTAATTTCCTAATGCTACTGGGAAACAATATTTCTAGAATAATATTCTGTACTGAGTCAATGATACAAGTCAAGATTTCTGTGAAAACAGATTAGGGAATGTCTAAAGAAATTTATCACTCTTGTGTTTGTGGTTTTGTTGGGGTTTTTTTTGTTTTTTTTTTTTTTTTTGTCTTGTCACAATAACATTATGGATATAAATTTGTTTAAAATACAATGAAACATAAAATGAAAATTCTGGAAGTGAAGTTCTGACAGCTGGGTGATACCTTTGCCCCTTTGCCTTAGTAATGGAAAAATATAGAATCCTTCATTACTGGAATTAAGATGAAGTTTTTACATTTTCAGCCCTTGGAGGAACATAACTATTATGAAAGAAATAAAGCATGATCCGTTTTATAGACTCATAATAGCTTTCCATTTGTTTCATTACAAACAATTAAAAGTGTGTCAGTAGCTTTGGAAAGAAAATTCAATATACTTTTAGGTGTGCAGGTTTTGTCCCTGTTAGGAATAATCTGTGTAAATCTATTGCATGGAATGCACATAAAGACCAAGAAAATAAATATTCAGATGAGGGAAGAATTGACACTTGAGTTTACAACACCTGCATACAGATCTATCATATTGGACAAACTGCTTCTAATTTCACTGATTTCTTTGGTTCAGTGCATTTTAATTAAGTTTTGATTGCTGCCTCAGTAAACCCTTCCTGCTTCAAAGAATCGATAAGCTATCCACACTTGGTCTGAGCTACTGTAGAGATGCTGAATATCATGTATGGGCAGCACAATTCTTCAGTCAATTATTTGTGAAAGAATTGCTTGGTCTGGCTTTTATTTTGAACGTTGTGGAACACAGCAGCTGGTTCTGCAGCAGTGCTGCCCCTGGCATTACTCAAAGCACTTGTGTTCTTTTGTTTCATCCATGGGTCATTCTGGATAAGCAAGGTTGTGAGGGAACTTCATTTTAAATTGAGAGAATTGTCCAAAAGCCACGAAATCTTCTTATGTTATCCCTTACAGTATCTCAATAGACTTTATTCTGAGTTCAAAATCTTCCCCTGTGAAACAGCACATATTGAGCTAGCTCTTCAGTCATCTATTTATTTCAGGTTTGTTCATAAATAATCTAATACATTTGAAAGCTTGGAGGATTGGTTTCAAACTGCTTAGTTACCTTTCTCTCTAAATACTTTTATGCTAATAGCTGTGTGCCTTATTAATGCTCATGGATTATGTTATGGGGCATAGAAGATAATGTAATAGTGTGTTCTGTGAGTATGTTTAATAAAAACCAGATTAGAATTGAGACTGTATTGTGAGTCACTGACATATCAGCTCTGTGCTTAATATCTTAGCTAAATCCCTGTCCATAGCTTTTAATACAGTTTGCATATTTTAGTGAAGTTGAGCATAACAGTTCTGAACCACACAGAAGGGTAACAAATACAGACCATATGAAGTTTTTTTGTAATTGAAAAATATATATTCTGATATATATGTGCTCCATCAGTGCTTATTTTTCTCTATATGTTAAATAGTTTCCTCCTAGAAACAAATTATAGATGTGTAACAAGCAGATTCCTGATGGGTATGGAGAATATTTGATAAGAATACAAAGAAAAAAAAAAAAAAAAAACAAAAAACCCAACAACAAAAAAAAACCAAACCTCACCCTAGAGCTTGAAATGAGATCAGAACTGTGTGCTCTTAATACAGTCTGGTAGCTGTGTCAATGTATAGGTAATTTTACTGTCCTGTTCTTGTGGGGCACCAAGTAATTTTGTTTCTTTGCTCCTGTTTCCATGGCAATTAGAATTAGATTAGGTTTAGGTTCACGGTGGATAAATGAGAGTGACTAAGCTATGATGTAGTGTTTGTGAGCCAGGAACACACTGAGCCTTTTTATAAAGTAGCCCAAAACTGTGCTTAAATCGTTGTGGTTTTCTGGTTGCTGCTGACTTGCTTTATCATTCAGCGTCCAGAGCTTTTGCTTGTGGTTGCAGTCTGGTGGCATTTGTGCTTTTTGTGTTTATAGGGATGTGGCCTTTAAATGAGAGAGCAGTGCCTGGATTCTAGTGATAGCTGCATGTTGAACAGTCAGTTTGCATATTTGCTAATAAATATTTATGTTGACTATTTAAAAAACTCTTTAGCCCATGACTGATTTTTGCAGTGTTTTGAATGTGGTGTAATGGTATGATTTTTATTAGCACCCACTCTTTAGGATGACTTTCCTGGAAGACCATTCCAAAACCAAGCCACTGTTCTGTATTTGTCCGCACAGTTTTTGTGTGTGTGTGCATGCATATAGAAATATATAAACCTTTTTCTTCTTCTGGTACTTGTTAATGCATTCATACCACCCTCACCCCAAGAGATTTTCATCCTTCCTGTTTGTCCAGGAATTGGAATGGAGGGTAATACTATTGGTGGACTATTCAGTCACTTTTCAGCTAATTCCTGTGCATCACAGTTCTTTTTCCTATAGTGTATATTTAACTTAACCATCATTTTGCACTAATGGATTGCAGATGCTGCAGAGAGTAAGATGATTTCATGCTTTGGTAGTAATGTGTCATGCTTTTATAGTCTCTGAGTATATGACAGTTGTGGTATTACACAGTATTTAATGCTTGAATTTTGTTTAATAATTATCTACTTTTTACATGGGCTGTGGTAGATTTCACAGAAACATCATCCTGGAAGATATTTCAGCCATTGTTTTAGACTCTCTGAGGTACATCTAAACCTAAAGGCAGCTGGGGATATTATTGTTGAGGTACAATTGATCTTTACCCTTCCAGGAAGATTTGAGTTGACACAATTAATCTTTGCAGTAGTGTGTGCTCCTGTAGCCCCGAGAGGGGAGCTTTGGGAGGTGTCAGTGGCTTCAGGCCCTTGTGCAGGAGCACAGCTGCTCTTGTGCTTGGCTGGCAGAAGGCACTGGTGGTGCTGGGATTTCCCTTTGGCAGCCCAGTTCTGCCCTGCCCTCTCCACTCAGCTGCCTCGTGCCCCTTCTGCCTGTTTGTGCTGTGCCTGTTCTGCCCGGCCTGCTCAGTGTCTGCCTGATGGGTTGTTACAAACAGGCTCTTTGGTTTCTGGGTTATCTACCTGCCTTCACAACACGTGTTTTTGGAAGCAAATACACAGATTTCTGTAAACATATAAATTTAGCTATTAGAAGAGGCCTGAGAGAGAATTTCTGCAATTACTGTGAAGAACTTGTATGCTTATTTTCATGTGACTGAATCAATTGCTTAGAGAATTGGTCTTGTATTTAAAAGCTGAAAACATGACTAGCCCTTAAACTGGTGGAAAAAATAACCAAATTACTTGATATATGTTGTACCAGGCTGAGCAAGGGAGCAGGAATAACAGTAGAGAATAAAACTGGAAAAATATAAATAAAAACAGAACATGAGTTCTATAACTCATGCTCTGTATTAGACTAGAAAACCATTTTTATATCCCAAGTCAAACTAAGGAAAAAGTTCATTTTATTAAGCAAATTAATACATAGACATCAGAATTTTAGGTTTCTGTAGTTTTTTTGTACCTTGATAGTGTTTCACTATATGTAGTGTGGTTTTAATTAATATTTATATAAATACAGGGTTTATGTAGTTCAGAAAAGAAGTTTAAAGGAACCATACTAGAGAATATATTAGATACAGGAGCCATTTTGGAATTGGAGACTTGGAAAGCAGATGATTTAAGATACATTGAGAGGCTGCATCGTCTGGTCTGTCCCATATTCAAAGTAAGAGCCCTCTGAATTTATAGAGATTCACCAGGCTGTGAAGGCAAAATGCTGGAAAACACACCATCAAGGGCTAATCCTTTGTTTGAATCCCTATACTGGAAAGTAATTTTACCTTCTGGTTTTGCCCTGCCTCAGTATGTGTCTGTTAAAGTAAATGCATCTTTGTCATGCATGAGCATCACTTGCATTGATGATAATGGAGTTTTCATATGCATGTTGAGTTACTGCATTTCTAATGCTGCAGAAGTCAGCACTGATGTACTCTGTTTTTTCTCTGTGCATCAACATTGTGGTAATCAGCAGATATATATATCTACATATATCTGTGGGAATTCACCTTAAAGAATCTGGCAAAGCTACTTCTTTGAATGTTTTTAGTAGCTGTCATTTATTTCAAATATTATGTGATGGGGAGATTCACTACAATTCAGCAGATGGAATTTGGGTCCAGGGTAGTGGAGAAATATACCCTGCAGGTTCTGAAATCCAAACACATTGCCAGTGTTAAGGGATTGTTAAAATCCTCAAACTCCAATTTACATTTTTTTTAAGTAAAAACCTGTGCAGAGAATACATGTGATGTAGTGATTTTTGAAAAGCACTAGAAGCTGTGTGGATTGCAATGTTGAGCTATTGAATATTCTGAGTGATTATTTTAAGATATTTTGGGCCTGTAAATTACATACTACTTTTCAAATAATTACTACTTTTGTATAGAAATAAAGTGAGGTTCTACTTACTGTATTTAATGTTAGCATTGTATTTATAAGAAGTGTAAGCTGAAGAGAAAACAAGCCTCAAGACTGGTTGGGGTTTGGGGTTTTTTGTGGGGTTTTTTACTTGTTTGGGTTTGTTGGTGTGGTTTGGTTTTGTTCTTAAATTCCTGGTTACATAGCTGTGCACGTTGTGGGCTGAAGTGAGGTGCTTGGCAATAGAAGTAGTTGCATCTCAAAGCAAAATAAGTTTTTTTGGGTAACCAGTGACTGACACAGGGGACTAATGGGGTTTGGAAAATTACATGATAGCATTGTTGAGGTGTTGAGGTGACCTCTTATAATGCTAGTATTAAACAGGTGGGACACTGAGTTCTTGTGTCTATAATTAGCGTAAATTTATCAAGTGGCCTGGCTGTGCTTGACCTTTTGCATGGAGAGCCAGTACAGTGGGTGCCACAAAGCTCTCCTTTTCCATACCAAAACACATGTACCTCTTTCATCTTACAGGGCCTCTCTAAAGGTCAAACACAGGTGTAGTTCAGCTGAACAAGAGGGATCAGCTCCCTTCTTGCACCCTGTGCAGTGGCACAAATAAGAGGACTAGAGGTTTAATTCAGGGAAGGGAGGACGCACAGTAAATGAAAGTAAAGATTTGCTACTCATAGGTAGTGCACTACAGTATATTGGCTCTGACCAGGTGACTTGGTGAATAATGATTTACCTACAAATATTTTATCTATCAATACATGCTCTGGTTTGGAATGCAATTTCTTACTTTTCCTAAAGGGGTTTCTTCAATAACCTCACAATTTTAGCCAGCCCATTTTTTTAATTGAGAGCATGTTGCTGTCTAGCTGGCAGATAAACTAGCTAACCTTGTCATTTTACCTTCTGAGTTTGGTTCCACATTACAGGATTATCAGCCCAGAGCCAAGTTGTCATACAGTAATAATAAGCTAACATAGCTGTGTGAGCACATTTAATTAACAGCAAAGATGGAATTCTTGACTTTTCCTTCACTTGGCCAACATCCAGAAGTGTGTGACTTCTCTGCTGTAGGAAATGCTGTAGAATACAAAATATGCACATTTGCATGTAGGCATTATCTGGACAGTCTTTGATATCCACCTGCTGGTCTTGGTTCATTTTTACTTTGCATTTATCTCCCAGCTATTGCATTTGTACTTCATTTAGAAACTAACACTGAGGTTTCACCAAAAAAAAAAAAAAAAAAGCTAATTTGAGGGGTCTTTTTTTAATGGCACAGCTACTAAAGAAAATACCAAAAGGTGCATTTTCCACATGTTGACTTTCTAAATAATATTTTCAACATCTGCTGCAGCACTGTTGTCAGATTGTGAGATATGCTTGAAACATGCTCACAGCGAGAGTATCCACAGCCTGGACTTTGTGAAAGCTTAAACTGAGCACTCCACAGTGCAGCTGCTCCAGATGACCAACAGCTCCTTCTCCACATTCCTGCCAAGCATCCCTGGCTGGATTGTTTCCAGCCTGGTTCCCAGTACAGGGTACATAGTTTCTGCAGTGGTTAGATGAAGATGCGTTTTTATTTATTATGCTCTGCTATTTTTACACCCAAAATATTGTTAGGAAAGCAGGATGGAGGGGGAAAGGTGACGAGCTAAGTATCTAAGTTATTGTTACGCAGACTCTTTGCACAAGCTGCGGTGAAAAAATGACACTGTGGACTCTTGAAATAAATACATTGTGCATTCTTTTCTCTGCATTTTATTTTGTTAACTTTACTATTTTTGTAATTCAATAATGAAAAGGCTCCTCTCAATTTTTTTTCTCCCACACCAGGCTCGATATCCCTCACCCCATTTCTTGTTTCTTTCTCCATTTTTAATTACGTGTAAAGCTTATGGCGACTCAACTGTCATTTGCATGTTATTTTAAAATACCTAAGATTAGCTTAGATGCATAAAGCTCTGAATCCTGCTTGCTTTTGGTTTGTAGTATAGGGTGTAATGTATCTGTATGCTAAATCCAAGTTTTAATGAATGTATGGGTCCTCTCTCAAACATACGATCAAGTGGGGAGGTTGTTTGGGTGAGTGAAACAGAACAAAAAACCCTTCTGCTAATTTATCTGGATTCCTGGATGATTTTGTGATTGTTCTGTCATTACTCCCCTTTATTAGCTAATTTTCAATTGTGGTAAAAGATCACAAGAAAATTTGCCCTAAACATTTGTTCTCCTTTAGTATTGATAGCAACTGGGACTGGGAGAGAAGAAATGTTTTAATGACTTCTTATGATCTGATCACAGCTGAGTGAATCTGGCAGCAGGACTGAAATTTGTTTAAAAACAGCTTAGTACTAGTTCTGTTTATTTTTTATTGAGAATAAAAAGGAAAGCATTTTATTTTTAGTATTTGGTTTCCAGCATTCTGGAAATACATACCATGACTGTGTATGAACTTCATCTTATTACCTACTGTGTTTTTAATGACACTGGTATAACCCTCATGCCTCTTTAGTAACTCTGCTCTCTGTTCCAGGTGCTGTTGTCAGGATTGATCGGTGTTGTTTCATGGAAGAGACCCCTGTCCCTTGTGGTGAGCAACTCCCAGTGCTTTTGTCTTTATAGAGAAGCCTGGTGGTCTCTGGGGATGATTTGCAGTGTTGTTGTGTGTCCTGATCTTTATAAACACTTAGTACAAAAAGTTGAAACCTTTGAAGTTGTAATGTATAAACCACATGGGTGAAAATAGTAATTTTCTACTGACTCACAAACAGATTGTTGGTCTGCTTGTACCTTTGCATATAACTTATTTGCCAAAAAATGCACTGCAGAGCAATCTTTTTAGCAGGTATCTGAATGGAAAAAAGCCCATTGCAAATTAGTAGTTGTCTTCATCTGCAGAAAGATTTTCAGCTACATTATAATTTTTGTTGTGAGATTCATGTAGTTACTTAATAATGAACAGTAATCCATTCTTTGTGTGTGCATGCTAATAGAGTTTCAGTTAGCCTATTAATGTAAAGCAGAATTAGATGGAAATGAAGCTTATTAAAAACACGAGATGACTGTGTCAATAAGGATGTATTAGCAGGTAAACATTGCGTCTGAAGCAGTGTGCATGTGTAACAGAGTAACACAAAATATTTGTAACATAGTACTGAAGATAGTCCCTGGAATAAAAAGCATAATGGACAGTATGAGATAGAGTCTTGCACTGATAAGAATAAGATGGATTAGAACTTCAGGTATATCTTTCATATTATAAACTTGGACAGTAGGCAGAGCTCACATCATTGGAATAAATAATATTCACACATCAGAAATGTTATCCAGGCCTGTTGAGACTTGTTTTCTGTGATTCCCAAACACTCACTTGCATGTTGTAAATTCAGCTGGGCTTTCTAATATCAACTTGTTCAGTGAAATGTAAATAGGCAGTTGTGGTCAGTGTAATTCAAGGAAATAAAGATAAAAGGGAGACAACAGTAATGGTAACATTGATGTTTGCAGAACAGCTCATCTTCCTAAAATCTGCTCTAGGAAATTATTTATTTCCAAGAGTAAGCTTGATGCTCTCGTGTTAGATCCTGATCTTCTGCATTGTTGGTGATACAATCATCAGCTGAAGAATGGGGAAGGGATGGTGTTTTTCACTTCTGTGTGTGACTAAGCTGTGTAGTGATTTTACAGTGGCTACATAATGTCCTGTTTTCCTTGCTGAGTTGTAAATACCTTTGAGCAGTTGGAGCCCACGTGTGCAGGGTGACTGTTCTGATTAGTAGTCAATAATGGTTAACTTTACAACGTCCAAACAAACTACCACCAACATGCTAATGAGCCATGTTTCTCCTGATCTGTTTATATAGCACATATGCCAAATGCATATGGTCAATAATTACCTTTTAACCTATTTTATAGTACTATAAGCAGTTAGACAATCAGTTACAATGTGTGTCTTTTTTGTTGCAGTGTGTTATAGAATCTGGCATTGCCAAGAGTGATAGCAGAAAGATAGATAAATAGCTTTATCATTTGAAGCTATGAATAAAGTTAAATAAAATTAAACCATGCAACATATGTGACGTCCTGAAAACTGGTGAAACTGTGATATTTTAAGGTGCCAGTTTTCTGCATATCTTGGATTTGTGACTAAAGCTGGTTTATAATAACCAGTGTTTTGACTATTGCTGAGCAGCACTTGTGCAGTATCAAAGCTTTCTGGTTTTCCCACACAGCATCACTTGCTTTGGCTTTTTCCTTCCTCTTTCCTTTGCTTATTAAACTATCTTTATCTCCTTCCACAAGTTTTTTTTTTTTTTTTCATTTGGGCTTTCCTAATTCCCTTCCAGTCCTGGTGAAAAGGGCCAGTGAGTGGGTGGCTGTGTGGTGCTTTCCTGCTGGCCAGGGTTAGCCCCCCACTCTGCTGGGTGTGCCTTGCTCAGCACTGTAATCATACAGACTTTTCCCACAGATGCAGGGTCTTTTCTTTGCCAATGTATTATTTTCTGCAGGCAAAAAGAGGAAATTGAAGGAGTATCAAACAGAAATAGATCATCAACCATTAATTTTTGGCTGTATCATACTAGAAGTGTGTTATGTAGTATTGGTGTAGAAATGAGCATGTTGTTGCGTAGTTTAACATTTTGGAACCAAAGTCAAAACTGAGAGTAGTTGTGTATTTATAAGCTATTAGTATGAATGCTGTTTTGTATTCTGCATTCAGTTAAAGATTTACAAATGTGTATGTACTAAGGACATTTTACTGCAATATTAATATGCAGAAATTTAGAAGTTCTCCTGCTAAAGTGTCTTTGAAAATCTTAATTATCTGGAAAATTTTTTGTTAGTTTATCTGAATTTTCTTGGTCATCTCCTAGCTGTCAGTTTCTTATGTTGCCAAAATGCTTTATACATACAAGGAATCAGTGTCTGTTATCAAACCTGTATTTACATTTACCAGAGGAAACACTCAGGCAAAGGAGATATTTAAATTGTTCACACATTGATTTTGAACAGTATTTTCTGTGTATTTCAGATGTTTCCTCATTAAGCTTTCTCTGTTTTCATTTTGAAATCTCATAGTATTGGTAGTGCTTTCAGAAAATCTCTCAAGGGTCCCTTTTTTGGAAACCAAGTGTTGGCTGTGTCACTACCACTGCTTAGTGTTAAAATGCAGTGTTAAAGTAGGAATTTCTTTCCTCATGGTTTATGGAAGTGTCTGAAAACTGGGAGAGAGCTTGTGGAGCACCTGAGGAATTAACTTGTAAAAAAACTAAATTTGTGCAGTCAGATTATTTTTCTGTTACAATCTAATCTATGGTAATTGCAAATCTGTTTGTGCTAAGGAGATTAATTCAGTATCTGAATTGAGTTGAAAGCTTCTCTGTTGCCATCTGGCATTTGGGTGACCCCAGAAAAATATTTCTACATTTCTAACTGACAGTTTTTACAATAAACTGATAGATTTGGTATTTTTTTCAATGAAGAGAAATATGGGGTTTCTTAATGTCTGTGAATGTCAATGAGCACAAGGTAATACTACTTACTAATAAATGATCTTGATTACTCAGAATAGCTATTTAAAAGCATTTACTATGAAATGTGCATTCCAGATCCTGTTCTGTGCACCAGTGAACATGGAAATCAGTGTATATATAACTCAATGTGTTGTCCCTTTAAATGAACCATTACTTCAAGCCTTTTTTGTGTTTGATAAGCACATAGAATTTTCTTCATTTTAGAAAAATAAGAGAACCTGTCCTAAAAAGCTGCAGTTCAACCTGCATATCAGACAAAAGGATGAACTGCTGAGCAAAGTCTCAGGTTGCACCCATGGTAAGACTCAGTTGAATACAAAAACTGACTTTTTAAAAAAATACTCAACTTGGGTCAGCTTGGTAGTTGTTGCAAAATGAGAGAGTTTTCTTTCTAGAATTCCAGTGAAAAACTTGAATTAGTTGAAATTCAGACTTGAATATTTTTCTTTTTTTTCCTGTAAAAATCATTAGAAGAATATCTACATTGAAAAGGGAAATTACTAATCATTTTAAATCATTACATTCACATGTACTCTTGCCCCATAAGAAGCATGAATATGTAAAACTGGTCCAAATGTTTTTCCTCTTGATTATCTCCTCTCACTAAATATCATTGCAGACTGCAGCAGGAATAACCAAACTTCAGGAAACAGATGAAACCTAAAATGTATAGAAATAGTGTACTAATATATATATATATAGTGTATTAGTGTATATATATATATATATATATAGTGTATTATAAAACAGAAAGTTTGCTATATTCTGCTCAGTGAGGTGGAGTGTTGACATGTTCCTGGCCCTGCTGCTTAACCTGAGCATCTAGAGCAGCTTTAGGGGTGTGAGACAAGTATTTTCAAACTCTTGTAAGAGAATGTACAGCTTCTTTTCTGATGACATCCGAGAGAAATATTTGAATTTTAAAAAAGAAGAAATTATTGTCCTCCCTCCAGTACCCACCCTCAAGCAGAGATTTGGTGTTAGGTTCCTGGAATAAAAAGATGATCTCTGTAGTGGAGAGGCAATGTCAGCATAAACAGGTCAGGACTGCAGGAGAAGAGCAAGTGAAGGAATGCACAGCGTGGGAGAAGAGCAGAGTGAGAGGCAGCCATCCCCTCATGTGTCACTGCTGACTTTGATACCTGTGTGATGTCGAGAGGAGCTGCAGAACATCCCTGTGCCTTAACAGATCCCTTGATCACTCTGCACTCTCATTTCAGCATGAGTATTCTTTGAATTCCTTGATCAAAATGTTCATTAGGAACCCTGCTATTAGACAAACACTTGTCTTTGAGGCTGAAGCATTAGTTTAAAGGTGAACAAAACACTGGGTGAAAACGAGAGCATCTTGCATACCGGTGCTTTTCAGTTTCTGATGAGCTGGGCAGGGGTTGAGTGCTGGGTATTGCTGCTTTCCAAAAGAAGCTTGGGAGGCTGCAATAACTTGTTTGGAAAGTAAATCCAGTGCTGGTTCAAAAAGTAGCTCTTCAGATGTAAAGCTGTAAATTTTGATCTGAGCTGATGTAAGCCCAGGGTTTGGAATTGAGAGCAGAGTGTTTGTATTTGACCTTTTTTCTGGGAGCATGGAAGGAAACCAACCCAAATTCAGATGAACTGAATATTAAATTAGGGGGAAGAGAATTGTGGAGGCCTGGGAGAGGAAGCAGAAATTGAAATGTGAATCTGGCAACATGAGGAAGATCGACATCAAAAGATTTAAGAAGAATAGGACCTAGATGACCAGAAAGAAGTTTCCCAAAACCATGTCAGTAAGAAATCATACAGTAGGATCTGTGATGTTTCAGACATTCAGTGCCACAAGCGTCATAAATAACTGAATTGCAATAGATTTGTAACTCAGTTCTGAATGCTTTCAGTGAAGAAAGTGTAGGCTGTAAGTAGTATTTTCCTATACTTGGGGACATAGTTAAGTTTTTCTTTGCCTCTTGCCTTCCTGTTCTTCCCTGAAGTTTAGTTGTACAAAGCACTAACATGGCTGTACTGTGCTGGTCACCAAAGTGCATCATCTGTCTGCACACTGCTACAGCATGGCTGG